TCCCCACCCAGTCCCCTCCCTCCTCCAGCCCCCCCGACCCCTTACTTACTTGCACTGGAGTCCTGCTGCTGGCACATTGCCTGGCCTGCACAGGCAGGCAGCGTACTTCAGCACCAGGGCAAGGGCCAACCACAGAGACGCTCTGGCAGCCACAGCGTCTCTGTGGAGGACCCAGCCTTTGGTTGCCTCAGGGTATGGTCCAGGACTGTGCCCTGCCCCGCTTTTTTTAGCTCCATTTTCTTCTTTTTTTGACCCCTGGATATCCAGGGGTCTAATTTTGCCCTCCATGCTGCAAACTTGCAGCGGGGGGAACCTTTTCCTGTTCCTGCACATGCCTCTTGCAGTGTCTCAAAGGGGTTTGAGATGCTGCAAGAGGCATGTGAGGGCTCATCTGGACATACCCAATGGGTCTAAACATTGACAGTCTCTTCTCTTGGAAGGTCTGTGCATGTAAAGGTACAGATTATTATACAAAGTCAAGATGTGCCATACATATCTGAAGACCGTGTTGTATAAAAATTGCTCAGAACTTGCTCTTACTGTTATTTAGTTCACTCTAATAAAGGAAGAATTCTAATGACGCAACAATTGAATTTATTCACCTTTGTTGCGTTAATTGCATTGACAGTGCATACGAGCTTACTCAAGAATACTGCAGCTTCAACCATTGGCATTTCCTAAACTTATAAACAGAGCTACATTCTTCCCAGAAAGAGTTAAGGGATAAAAATGTTTTCCTTATGCCTTTTATTTCTATTGTTCTCAAAATAACATATTTTTCCATAATTAGATCTGCTAATTCTCATAAACATATACTTCTTTATAAATGAAAAAAAGTTGTGTGTCAAGAAGGGAATATCCTACTTTTCAACATAGCCATCTGCAAAGTGCTATAATAGATTATGCAGCAAAAATCAGGAGGGCTGCCTAAGCAGATTAGTGATGGGCCAATATACTGCCAAATGAGGGAACCAAATCCTAATCCGCAGCCCTGCCGAGTCCAAAATTCTATAAATAACCAGAAGTTGGGATGTTGTAGAGTAAATGTACTTAATTTTGAAACAGGGTGCCATTTTTGTTTCTTTACAGCAATTAGAAGCATCTATTCTAATCAAACTAAACTGTTTACTGAAGGCCTCTGTACTTCATTCACAAATACAATGCCATCCAATACATACTGTAGTCTGTGTTATTTGTTAAAATATACAGTATAAGTAATCATTATGAATATACATTAGATGTAGGTACTCATTAAAAAGGTGCTGCCACACTATGTATCCTGCATTAATAAACACAGTGGCTTAAATGAATTATTTGGATACAAATCTATATTCTTTACACAGCTAAAACACCTGTAGCAGACATCATGGGCAGTTTTGAATATGCAGAGATCAGGTTTTGAGTACGACTGGAATTTCGTACTTCCTTCAAATTCCCTCTATACAGCCAGACCAGTGCGGGGTGGAGGGGTGGGGCGGGAGCTTAGTATAAGAGAGAGAACCAAGCTCTTAAGAGTTTATTTGAATCAGGCTACCTGTTTTTACTTGTGACATCACAATTGGTAGCTGCAATGGAAATGATTGTGATGCTACAAACAATGCATTACGTTTTAATGTGGAAAACCAAAGTTTTATTGTAAATGTATGAAATTTAGAATGTGCCAACATTATACTGGGCTCAAGATATGACTCACTTTCAGTTGAACAATGAAAGCAGTCAAAAAGTACTTGTCATGCTGTAGCTGTAAATTGTTCTTAGTAATAAAAATGAATACATATAGGTGATGTAAAAGCCAAATTATTTATAAATAGTATTTATAAATTCATCAAAAAGTGTTCCATTAAAGCAGTTTTTAATATCTAGTCTAGGGTAATTCCCATCCTCATATTTTCATCAAGTTTGCTTTAGAGATTTTCCATGCAAAATGTAAGTTCTCTACACGTACAAGAAATAGGCTCTCTCTCAGTATTTAATAAAATCCTCATAGGAAAGAGATAAAAAATAACAACTAATAAGTAAAACTCATAGCTCTTTATTGAAGATTAAACTAAATGAAAAATGTATTTGAAAAAATATATGAATTATCCAGATGAAAAATTATTTAAATGCTACAACTTGATAAGATTCTAATACACTTGCATAAATTAATTTCTTCCTTTGAATAACTAGGACTTGTCATTTTCTTCTTTTAGCACTTATATTTTCTTCTCGATAAAAAAGAATTTTATGCAAGACCGTCCTTATTTCTTTGGAATATAGATACAATGTGGATTCTCAATTAGCTTAATGTCGTGCTCCAGCTGTTTCAGATGTGATTCCAGGCGTTCTTTATGCATCCTCTTTGGTAGGGTGTCTATTTCTAAAGAAAGGCACTGAAACTCATGGTGCGTCTCTTCCCAGGCCTTTTTCAGATCCTAGATATATTACATGAAAAGGGAGCTTATGAAAGTAACTTATGTTATAATATATTTACAGCAATATAAACAGACATGTTACCCTCTCTTAAGTAATCACCTCCCTCAACACAATCAATAGACATTAAAATAATTGATAAACATCTGGATAAACTTTATTGGGCTCAATAACTGGGCCAAATCCATTAATCCCTTTAAAAGTCAACATACTTACAGCAAAGAGGAATTTGGCCTGTTATACTAAAATACAATGAATGACCTACATGAGGCATGCATTTTAATGGAAAATTAATGGTATGGCTTTAAAATGACATTCAGAAGTTATCTATCAGCAGAGAAAAGTAGTTGGTCATGTCAGGCAGAAGGCACGGTAGATTTGCACCTTACAAACTAACTAAATCAGCTATGTATAGCACAAGCTTTCATTAGTCTCAGCAAACTTCATGAGATGCTGGCATTATAAAACTTTATGTGCTCAAATAGTGTACTTGTGTATGGTTGTGTTATGTTTGCATGATTATTTTTTAAATATACATAAAACAAATTTAAAAAAATTATAGCAATGTGTGATTCTGAGAACACAATTTGAGCATAACTTTATCTGCTATTTTGCAATGCTACTTTCTTTACAATCAAGGGCAGCAGAATACTTGCCTGTAGCTTCTAACACAGCATACATGACATTCTTTACTTTCTTGAATTTAATAATGATAACAAAGTATTTTTTAAACTTTTAGTTGTCATCCATTTATGTCATTTTGGGGTTTTTTTACAGCATGAACCACTGAAAAAGGCAGTTTTAATACCGACTAGAATAGTAGCTTATTGCAATTAACTTCCTCTCAAACAGTAGGGAAACCAAAAGGCTAGCTGTGATATTAGTTTCCCTCCAAAGCTGCTAGACACAATGCAATCGTGCTTGACTCACAGGCTTGGTTGCAAACTGAAGCTCTAACCCTATATAAAAATGAGAATGAAAGCTGTATCTGTGAGATGTACATACACCATATATATTATAGAAATTCTAGCCTTTTGTCACATATACTTGCTTTGGGTATAATGTAACTATGTGGAATTTCAGATTTTTAAAAACCAGCTATTTCCTTTTATTTGCTGTATGATCATAAACCTTGCTTCTGTTCTCAGATATGTATCACCACATATCGTGTAAAACTTGATAGTGGTACATCCAACCCAATGGACTATCTTACAAGATAAGAATTCATGTGCATCTCCATGTAAGTGTGGGGCAGTGACTGTATAATCTAAGCATGCTAATCACTCCTGATGACACTGTAACTTTATAAATCATCTGACCCATAATCCTGCAAACATTTTGGAACAAATTTAAAATATAGTGGGGTTTTATCCAAATAACATCTGAAAATACTTTAACCAACTAAAACACGTTTCAGTTCATGTTCCCCTAATTGAAAGACGTAAGAGCATAATTTTTATCAAACAAAAGGAATAACAACATCACAAGTACCAGAGTAAACAGGTGTTGACATGACTGTCTCCTCAACAATAAATGCAATATATATTAATGTGATTTAAAAAAAAAAATATTCACCACTTCTATCATCCATTGTATAAAAACTGAGAAAAAGACTGGCTTTCTTGTCTCTGACATATAATCTTTCCAGTATTGACAATGTTGCAATGGAATGTTACCTACTACTTTGGCCACATATTAAGAGTGTGACTTTACATGGTGACCTCACTGGTTAGACTAAAGACAGAAAGGGAGATTAAGAAGATAGTGACATAGATTCATAGAGGTTAGGGTCAGAAGGGACCTCAATAGATCATCAAGTCCGACCCCCTGCATAGGCAGGAA